TGTCTTGATAGTTTACTTACAACTTTTTGCAACCCTCTCAAGTTATATTGATTCCTAAAGTGAGCACAAAGTAAACCCACAAAAATGTTTGTTGAAATCATGTAAGTATATTGCAGACCATTAAAATGTTCATACCTTTTCACAAAAAAGTAAATGAAACTTTATTCTTTTGTTATAAATATAATTTTGACTTACGATGCATACTCGTTAATTAATACTTCTGCGAGCTTGAACCTTATCGCAGCGTATTCTTAAACAGATACTTAATATTGCCGAAATTAATGTAAGATATGCCAAGGTAGCGCAATTATGCGACATGTCACTTTTTAAATAATTACAGTATTGCTGAGATACGAGAGAGATTCTTTGCCATAACTTTTGCAAATTGCTTGTTTTCTTTTATTCCCTCCATGTTAATAGTAGACTAATCAGTTTAAATTCCTTCCTATCTTCACCTATCAACTATCATGACCTCTAAAGTGTGATACTAGATTATTATTTTCAATATTTCTGTCCAGAGTCAGAAACTCTCCAATGAAGTTAATGTAAGAATATAGTTTTTCTTTTACAATAGTTTAAAAGTAAAATGTGAAGATTTATTTAAGATGTAAAAGATTATTAGTTTAAGTGACTAACGTTTACTATTATATTTATTGTAAAAGAAAATATACTACGGAGTGAAAGGCGGTTGACAGTGCCTATTTTGTGTAAGAATAATTATTTACATTATTCTATTCTACTTCTTATGAAAATCTGTAAGAAGATTATCTGTATAGTAAAATACCTTTAAAAATCGTTCTTCGAGCTTTGCTGTGTATATAAATTTATTGATAACATATTGTTTGTGTTAACGTTATTTCGTTAATATTGAAACGGAAAAACATGTTTAAATACTCGTTACGATTCGCCGAAAGAGTGAATGTAAATATAAGTATATAGATTATACTCAAATGTAGGTGTATGAATATTATCTTAAAACAAAACACTTTCGAATTAAATTAATATTGTATATTCAGTTTCTTAAAAAACCGATCAAACATTAATACAATTTTTATACTTCGACTCGTTCAACAAAAATCTAAACTTTATTCAATGGTAAATACGATCTACTTTCTAATCTGCGCTCTCTGAAGATTTAACATCATGTAGAAGTTTTTAAACTAGGTACTCGGCACTAAGTTAATACAATGCTTTTTATAAATATCTAGCCAAATACTCTGTAATATGTTGTTTTTTGTAACTCGTTTTAGGTATAACATTTTTATTTCTTTTTACTTTATTAATTAATTTTCAAAATACATAATCTAATTACATAATTACTATATATATATAAAAATACTAGAACAATAAAACTAAAACTAAAAACCTTAAAAATAAAATTAATAACTAAAATATATTATTAAAAAGAGTCCCTTTAGGCAAGGATCCGAAAATACTGGCAGCGTTACCCCTTTGAATGGCTAGACTAATTCTTTGTCCGAGGTAGCTGCCAGCTCTTCGGTCTCCTGTGATGTCGACTAACCTTTTTGCTATTTCCTTAATTATTTATTTTGTTGTTTTTTATAAATATTGACAGTCAATATTTTATAATAAGCATAAGAAATAACGAAGTTATTTTTAACTTTAGCACTTCTGCTCCGGTGTTTAACTAAGTATTCCCAGATAAGTATCGTAAAATATCCCTAGTTATAATAAAGTAGTTTTTTTAAATGATGGTATCTATCCACCTACATGTGATATGAAACAGATACCCTTATAAATTAGGAAAGATATTGGAGATCTCGACGTTCCTCAAATTATTCGATTGTGTACGTATTCGATGTTTTAAAATATTATACGTTAGTCGAATGTTGTAAGTTTTTGTGTGAGCGATATAAATACTATGTATAAATAAATATATGAGATGTTACAAACTTGTGATTTTATTTCATAAAATATTACTAATTATTACGTCCGATGAAAAGCAAATAATCCGTTATTATTGAAAACGTTATTTTATATCATAATATGGCAACGACAAACAAACACTGTCCTGAGTCATGAGCACAACAACTTACATAATATCACGTTTTTTATCGCGTCTAACTGTCAAACTCCATAGTTATTTGACAATTAAACGTGTTAAAAACGCGTTATATATCATATCGCGGTGTTCATGGTAGGCTGGTCTGTGTGTTGGTAAGCGGTCGCTGTGGCCTGTGGACGCCTGTGTACCAGGAGTACCACACACGCGTTATCGCACCATTTCCGAACACAAAAATGACTACAACGATCGGCGCAGGCAATAAGTAATTTATTGAGTCAAACATCTATTAGTGAGCCAAAAAATGTACCTACTGCCTTGGGCATTCTTATCGACCCAAAACAAAAATAGCCAGGGTTGTACGATTTTGATACGAGTTAGACAAGACACACTATATGAATGAGTTTGTGTGAGTAAATTAAATGATTTACTTATAATCGTGAAGCGAAAATTGAGTCAAACATCTATTAGCGAGAGACCTATTAAAAAAAGATCTCTGAACTTAAAACTTAATTATGTATTAGCCTCTCTTTTTTATTCTGTTTAGAGAATGACAAGGATACACTATTGTCAAATTTAATTTTAGGCTTAGGGGGCGTCCATAAATTACGTGAGATGTTTAAGGGGGGGAGGGGGTCGAGTCAAATCTCATCTAATCTTACGTTGGAGAGAGGGGGGGGGGGGGGTCTCGGCAAATATCACGCATTATTTTTCTGCATAAACAAAAAAGAATTATACTATTTTGGTCCATTTAATCAAGATTGTACACGCTTAAGATTTAATCTTAATCTTAATCGTAATCGTAATACGATAAAATCATTCGCTAATGGTTCGAAAGAAAACTAGTCGTAAATGAAAGCACGAAGCAATTTTTTTTTTCTTTTTACAATATCAATCTAACGTGTTTACGTGGAAGAAACTCACATTTTGGTGAGATTGGGGGATGGGGGAGGGGGTTTAATAAAATCTCACGACATCTCACCAGGGGGGCAGGGAAGGACAGAAAATTCAAAAAAACACCTCACGTAATTTATGGACGCCCCCTTAGAGAATCATGAGATAGTTTCCCTACTTGTAGGGAAACGATATCGAATCCGATACATAACTCATATCACTTACTTAACTCTATACCAAAAAAGAGTACTTTGCATCGAGTATCGAAATGATTTAATCATACAAAATACTAAAATGGAACCCAGGGCTGCGCACTATACCCACACTTCAGGTAATTCCAGGTGCAACAAAATATGGCGCAATTATGTTATTAAGAAGTAAAAACAATATAAATGAAATTTAGGAGGCTGGATTCCCGATTCAGTTAGACTATTAGCCCAAGAGACAGTGGTCACGGTTATATACTTGATCGTAATGCAAAATTTCCGCTCTCTAGTTTATTACAAACGCTAGGGTTGGTTATACGACCCTTAAATTTAAAAATCGGGGAAAGAGTGGTAATAACTGGCCGCCATATTGGAAAACGCGTTTATCTCTATATCTCTGAAATTTTTGATTTTACAAAAAAAATGTGGAGTGCTTTTTGTTTATTACTAAACTACTAGGCCCGCCCTCGCTTCACCTCGGTGTACAGCTGTATTGATTTTGTTCAAAGGCTTGTATTATACACAATGACTTTTTTAATAATAATTATAAACCTTTCAGTAGAAGTAAAAAATTGTTGCGTAGTTTTGAACCCGTTGTACTATCGCAGAAGTTTGCGCTCTGTCACTTAGCGGACAAAATGCTCTGAACGGTTTTCTACAGTAGTTTTTACTACGCCCCGCCCCGTCACCATCCATGCCGCCGCTCAAAAGTAAGACAGAGAGCATTTCATTGATTGAATAATAAATTGAATTGCACTTGTTTTAGTTGCAATTTGTCATCCGCATCGTGATCGCGACAGCGCTATACGAAAAAGTAAGACAGCGATAATTACATGTCTATGAATGAATTTTTACTACGCCGCTACCGCAAGCGATTATGGCATTATGGGTGACAGAGCGGCTCTTTTCGCGAGTGTACATAATGCACTATTGCTCTGCTGTTCTGATTTCTTTTTGTTTTGGATAGTGCATTCATTGAGAAAGGCTATTGGTTATATAACATCAGGCTGCAACCAGTAGCAGCGGAGCATCGATGCATTTTTTGCAAAAAACACGTAAAAATATTCCGTTTGTGAGATTCCGTTGCGTACGCTGGGTAAACAGTTAAAGTTACACAAAAATAATGTAAAAAGTTATTGTTCTCCTTTAAAAGTTCTATGAAAAAGTCTGCGACAGCATATGTCCATCTTCTAAGATTGACTGACTTAACTACCTTTTTCCTAAAATTAACGCGGGTGTAACCGCACTTTGTGACATAACTGTGAAATTATAACTATAACTGTGAAAGTTAGATATATGGTATCGCGGACTTTTTTGTAGATATTGACGTCCTCTATAAAACTTTAGTACATCACTTTGCTCTATTGTCAATGACTTCCGCAGCGTACGCGACATAAAGTTATTTTTTGACATTGTTACGTTATATTATCGAAGTTTTCACACGGAACCCCAATTTTTTTGAAAATACTCGATAACCTATGTTCATCCCGTCTAATGAAGGATTCTAAATGTGAAAGAATAGTTTTGGAGCCTATTCAATACAAACAAACAAAAAATTAAATCTTTCCTCTTTATACTATTAGTATAGATTCCTTAACTTTTCTCTATAACTTTTTATTGTAACTCTTACCGTTTTTTCAATTATTGCTGTTTATTTCAACATCATCAATATAATTCAGTCTTTAGTGTTATAATTCATAAGATAATTGTTTTGTAATAGCATTAATAACGACAACGTTATTTAAATAACGTTATGCGTTACGCTACGCATCACTACAAAGCCATGTGTCAATGTAGTGTCATTCGTTCATTCACTCACTAAACGTCACAGCTTGCGCTGACGAAAAGAAAACAAATTCACTTTATTTAGTTTACCCATCGCGTTCTTGGGGCTATACCGTTTGTTCATTTTAGTGAAATAATCAGTACCGGAGAATTTTTTGATAGCAAGCTGACGATTATTTCCATTACTGTTCACTGAATCTGTGGACGTTGTAACAATGAGTGGTGATATTTTCTTTGTTGGCGGTGTCGAAGGGTGAGTGATAGATGAAAATAATTGATTAATGCACAAAATTTTTTCGCACAATACCCATTTGAAAGTGTAAAGACTCGCCTTGAATATAACTAGGCGTTTCACAACACTCGTTGTTTAATTAGTAGAAGCAAATAGTAATTATCTATTCATAAAATTGTACTAATAAATTTTCTTTTATTCTAACCTTTATTAGATTATTTCAGACATGAAACATGACAAAAACAAAGGTTTAAATAAACATATTGCAAGCGAATTCAAGACTTGCCTAAATGTCAATGACAAAATTATATCTCGCCTCAAGAACTTTTTGAATATTATGTAAATACAAAAATTATTGACTGTATTAATAATTAACATGGCTTAATTTTTGTACCAGACCATTTTGTTATAAAGTAGTTTTTTTTTAATCGCTGTTTTTAATTTGCACCTTGTATTACTGTGTATTGAATACTTTGGGTTTAGATAAAATTACTAAATAAATTGACAACTTTTACACGTGTTTCACATTCACCAATGGCAGAGCTCAAAAGAATGGCTCGCCCGACACACCGGCGAAAGTGAATCGGCATGCAAAACTCGACTTAAATGCGTAGTAATAAAAATTAAAATATGTATCACGCAACTTTTGGTATATTGAAGAATTTGAGCTATGCAATTTGTAGTTACCCTTGATTGTTACAAGTTTACTTTTGTTTTTTTACACAGAGCTGATAAATAAATATGCATTAGTTATTGGGATCTAGTATTATGTATATGTCGTAGGATAGTAAATCATCCAAAAATCTAATTTTCGGTAAAATCCTAGTGATTTTGCAAAAACGCGGATAATTAGATATATACCTACCTAATTACGAAGACATTTCTCAATCTTACTGATAAAAGATAGGATAGGATGTTTGCAAAATCGCGAGTCGCCACATAAAGATTGCGAAAAGAATAATTGACTTAGGGGCCGTCCATTAATCAAGTGATGTTTTTTTTGCATTTTTTAACCCCCTCCTCCCCCTTATCACCATACATGGTGAGGTTTAAGACTAAACCCTCCCCCCGGCCCCTATATCACGTGTATTTTTAGTACTTACAGAGAATCTTGCTTTTTTTAATATTTTTATAAATACAGTTATAAGTATCATCTAATTTTATTATAGAAAATTAAAGACTGCGTTAATAACACTGAGGGGTAGACAAAAAAGTTCAGGTTCTTTTTGATTTGCATAAAAATAATGAATGAAATGTGAAAACCTTTTTTGTACTAATACATGAACATTATTTATTGTACAGTATCCTCGAGCCACGGAAATACACGTGATATATTACTACAACCCCCCCCCCCCCCTTTCAAAACTCGCGTGATTAATGGACAACCCCTTATTTCAAAATATTCTTCAGTTATTGGTAAGGTTCACAGTAGGTAATGATAGGTTAGTATTTTGATGATGACGCGCGTGCCGAGCGAGCGTAGCGAGCGTGTGGCAGCAGAAATAGGCAAAGCGCCAGAAAAAAAATATGTTAACACTAAGATTGAGCAATGTCACCGCAATTATGCGCGTTTTAGCGAGATTCCTAGAATATCCGCAAAAATTTCATTTATTTAATCATCCTACAACATATACAAATTATAATAAATGTACTCATCAAACAAGTCTAAGCAACATGTTGTACAGTTTTGAACTTTTGGACGATTTTTTTATATTGTTATTTATACCATACCATTTTATAACCACAATCAAAAGGTCTCTATTTTTACAATCAGCATATTAAATTTTCTAGAACAAAAAAGCTTTTATACCAATCTACATTACTAAGAAAAAAAATAATACAGCTATTATTATTATTTTTTTTGTTTCCTCCCTGGCGGGGGAGCGGGTATGAAATCCTCATGGATACCCTACAGCCGGCTGTAGGGTTATGTCAGACTCTTACTGACTAAAACACACCCGTGGGGGATGCCTATGGCCTTAGGAGCCTTTCAGGCTTCATCTGATGCGATCAACCCCTGAGAAGGGGATGGTGCAGCGCTGCCTTAGTATATACTACTGCATAGTGCGCTTAGTCCTCTAAGCGCACTATGCAGTACGGATGCACTCTGATGTGCATCCGTATCGGTTTGGGACTGAGCGACTGAAGGTCTCTCAGGATCGGGGGGGCGGGCAGCTATTAATAAAACACACACTTAAGTACTAAAAAAAAGTTAGACGCTGTTTTAAACCTTGCTTAAGCAAATTTTCTATGTAATTTTTTTCTTATATTCGTTTTTAACGGTTTTTACCTTTTTGTGGTATTAAGGACAGTTTCTGTAAATTATGGGTGGATTTGACTTTTTTGATGTGTGTACGTTATACTATTTATGTCTTATTGAACAAAATAAAACGTCACATATAATTTAAAGCACCCAATTGGAATTGAAATTCAAAAACAATGACGTTGATAGATTCACCTTAATTTAAGACAATGTAGGTGAATTATTTTCAATTGATAGTACTGATTGTTCTGACCAAAGATCAAAACTGAAAGATAGCGTCAACGGCAAATCTAGCACGTTCGCAAATATCGTTGACGTTCGCTGATTCTACTCCGAAGGTCATCAAAGTTTGATAACAATAAAGCCACTCTTAAAGATGTCAATTATTATTTAACCTTAATTGATGTTGACGCTTGCACTTTGTTCGTGATATTAGAGTCTTCACTCCCAAGTTCATAAGCAATCTAGAATTACTACGTATTAACTACTCCATAGAGAATTATCTGACTTAAGTCTTGAATTTGAGGATCTCGAAGAATGACCCAGCCTGCTAGGGTCTACCGCCTGTATTCCCAGTAGTTCCATGTATCTAGTTCCACATGTAACTACTGCTACCTGGGGTCAACCACTTTATTGACATTAACTTCATCAAAGTTGAGCAACTTTGGCAATGACCGGTCATTGGAAGGTCGACCAAGAGTTTATTAGGTCGACCTGCTTCGGATCGCACGTGGCTGTATCTGCAGTTTTAGCACCTATCAATACGCACTTTTTTTTTATACGCAGGCAAAAAATACTATTTACAGACGACGGCGCCTTTAAGAGGCACACCGCCGAACGGACCTTACACCTGGCGCCCGCAAGCCTTACGAGCCCCAGCAGTGGCTGCCCACTGAGGACCCCGTAACTCTTACGGGCGCTTAACGGCATAATATCCGCTAAAAACCCTGCGAATACCCACTAAGCTGCTTAGCGCGAAGAGGCGGGATCCCCGTTTAGGGATTCTTCCGCGTCTCCGCACCTAGCAGCCTCCCGGCGTCCGCACTGGGCATGCGTGGTGAAGTCATATGTACTGTTTCCCCTGTTTTCCATCAGTACCTCAGTGGGTATATTAATTATCTGTTGATAATGGCGTTAATTAGCTAAGATATGGATATCTTCATAAGACTAAGGCCCGTATTACAGAATGAGAACTAAGTGTTGATCTTTACTTGAGTACAGTTAGAAAGGGATGCCGCTATGTGCTATATATAGCGCCATCCCTTTCTAACTATGCTCAAGACTAGATTCATTACTGAGAATCTTTCTGTAATACGGGCCTTAGATACCTTTTGCTTAGCTTGGTGAGAGAGCCGGATCATATGTTTCATAACTATGCCAATATCTTTCCTATTGAATACAATGTCATTTTCAATGCTTTGTTTTATAAACTCGTTAGTTCGCACTGCTCATAAGTTCACTGTAATTGTTTACAGTTGCATTTTCTCTTCATTATGGTGGTATTGCGTTTTCAATTTCGTTTGTGTATGTGGTAATTGCGGCAGAGCACATTTTCTTTGTTGCCGAATCGCTTTCCATTGCGTGGCTCCACGTCACCTTTTTCGGACAGATAATATATATCGTAAAAAGTTTTTTTTAATACTCTCCCTCTCTCTCATTTTTACAAGGCAAATAACACTATTCTATGCAGCCTTGTCCGGAGTAGCTGACGTACTGTCTGAGTATTTTGCATGTATTTTGCTATTCCTTGTTCCTTTTTAATAAATTATTCTAGTATTTTAAAGTATTATAAAGCAGCACAGTAAGCAAACCCGTAGTGCATCAGCACTTACATTCAATATCCCAAGATACAATAATCTTTATGGTAGGCAATTATTACAGTTTCAGATACCCAAGTTAATTAACGAATTACCAATATATTTAAGAAAAGAAATTAGTGAAATTAATATTAAGAACGTTGGTACTAAAAGGATATTATAGCTCACTGTTATTTAATCAAGAATAACATATTTAATATAGTAAAATTTAATGTTTTTTAACACCATAATAGAGTAACAGTATTCAGTAAAATCTGATGGGGAACCCGCCCGTGTGAACAAACTCATTGCTTTTTTCGGGGCGACCGCCGACAACTCTTAGAAAGAGGGTAGATGCAGATGCGAAAAAAAGTTTTAAAAGATGATGAATCCCAGTGCTCGGTAAAACCTACACAGGTTTTTGTAGCACTGGCTAAATGTATTATTATTATTTATAGTAATGTAAAATTCAATAAATAAAAAATAAAATAAATAGCTTTTATGTGGTTCTCTCACTCCTATCAGGCGCTGTGAGAACGTAAGCGCTGCTGCGACTATCGCCACACCAGCTTCTCCGGAGACAGGGTTCTGGTTAACCCATAGTATTATTGTCAATTTATATTCCTTCTTTTTATAAATTATCGTGTATTATGGGGGTAACTAAAAAGTTTTTTTTTCTTACCATTTTCTTCAGAGCCTTTAACGCATGAGCTCTGTCCAAAGTGTCAATCTTACAATATTCCATCAAGTGAACTATCAATAATGTCAGATTTATTTAATAAAACAAAAAACCAGTGTGGGCGCATGACTAGATGATCAATATAACAAGTTCAGTAACCATGATTGAACATGACTTAGTTATCTTACTTACAACTTTCCGTTTAATTAAAAAGATGTGGAAATATCAAACATTTTATTGCGACAATTCTTAAATTGTTTATCCTGCCCGACTGTGTTTGTTT